CGGTTCGGGGAGGCCCAGATCGATCTGTTTGCTTCCCCCGAGAACGCTCATTGCCAGTTGTTTTTTTCCCTGACCGAGGGCTCTCTCGGCACGGATGCACTGGCCCACAGCTGGCCTCGGGGCATGCGCAAGTATGCATTTCCCCCAGTGAGCCTGCTCGCGCAGTTACTGTGCAAGGTCAGGGAGGATGAGGAACAGGTTCTGCTAGTTGCGCCCCGTTGGCCCAACCGGACCTGGATATCAGAGCTCTCACTCCTCGCGACGGCCCTCCCCTGGCGGATCCCTTTGAGAGAGGACCTACTCTCTCAGGAACAGGGCACCATCTGGCACCCTCGCCCCGATCTTTGGAACCTCCACGTGTGGTCCTTAGACGCGAGGAAGACTTAGGTAACCTACCGACTCTGGTGGTTAATACCATCACTCAGGCTACAGCCCCCTCCACGAGGCGCGCCTACGCCCTGAAGTGGAGTCTATTCACTGAATGGTGCGTCTCTCGCAGAGAAGACCCCCGAAACTGCCAGGTTAGTGTTGTGCTCTCTTTCCTTCAAGAGAAGTTGGACAGCAGGCTGTCGCCCTCCACTCTCAAGGTTTATGTGGCTGCCATCTCCGCTTATCATAATGCGGTAGCTGGCGGCACCGTGGGAAAGCATAACCTCATCATCCGGTTCCTAAGGTGTGCTAGGCGAATTAATCCATCTCGCCCCCCTCTTATGCCCTCTTGGGATCTCGCCCTCGTTCTCACGAGTTTGCGAGCCAATCCCTTTGAGCCTCTCGAATCAGTATCTCTAAGATTTCTGTCCCTGAAGACAGCTCTGCTGGTTGCGTTGGCCTCCATCAAGAGGGTCGGGGACCTGGAGGCATTTTCGGTCAGTGACTCGTGCCTGGAATTCGGGCCGGATTACTCTCACGTCATCCTGAGACCCCACACGGGTTATGTGCCCAAGGTCTCCTTTAGAGATCAGGTAGTGAACCTGCAAGCGCTGCCCCTGGAGGAGGCAGACCCAGCCCTTTCTTTACTTTGTCCAGTTCGCGCTCTGCGCATTTATGTGGACCGTACTCAGAATTTTAGATCATCTGAGCAGCTCTTTGTCTGTTATGGCGGTCGGCAGCATGGAAGTGCTGTATCGAAACAAAGATTATCCCACTGGATTGTGGATGCCATTTCACTCGCTTATTCGAGTCGAGGTCAGCCGTGTCCCCCGGGAGTGCGTGCACACTCCACTCGGAGCGTTGCATCCTCATGGGCGCGTGCACGCGGCGCCTCTCTAACAGACATCTGTAGAGCTGCGGGCTGGGCAACACCCAACACGCAAGGTTTTACAATCTGCGAGTGGAGCCGGTTTCCTCAAGGGTATTAGGTAACCCTTTGGTGATTGAGGAAAAAACACGGTAGGGTGTTGAGACACGCTTGCTGCGCCATTTTCCCTAACACGGAGATACGTGCGCCCTTTTATCAGTCAGTAAAGTTCCCCGTCAGGTGAGCCCTGCCGATTCCTCCGTGGCCCCCAGCACTGACTCAGCGAAGGAGTCACTTGCTGGCCCACTACGTTGTAGGTCTGCCCGCTGGTCAGCCCGCGTTTTGGGTATAGGTGCCTGCTATGCGTGATCCTCACTAGGCGATCCCATATGCTTGTTCCGCCACGGCTAAGTCCCCCCCCTGGGCGGACCCGTGTCTTCCCTCTGCGCTAACCACTCTTTTGTTATGCGTACTCCCCCTTTTTAGGGCTAGTCCATATGTAAATCCTGCCATCTATCCCCCCTTGGGTAACGGATGGCCTCCGCAGCGTTCTCCCTATCGGGATTGCACGCTTCCCAACGTAATGTCGTATTTTCCTAGAATTATCTAGATGCTCACGACTTACCAAAAAATATATCTAAATCCGTAAGACTTCTATTGAAGTAGAATAAATTAGGGCCAGGGACACGTTGGAGGACCGTGCCTCCCATGATGTGGGTGCGTCACGCTTGCTTGACTATCCCCTCATCGGGGGCGTTGGTAAGCTGCAGTCATTATGGCGATTTCCATACTTCTCCCATTCGTGGATTTCAATCAATCCACTCTATGGCACTGAAGTTCCCCAACCGAAGGGTAACGTTCGAGGTTACAGAACGGAACGGGAACGGGAACGGAAGTGCCATACTCCGTCGCCTTAATGACTGTCCCTTAGCTGTTTGAATGTCTCCTTAGCTTAAAAGGATGGTGTTTGCTCGCTTCAGGTGTGCTTATATGCTGGGATAATTGGCGATGCAGCACACCTGCGCAAGCTTACGCTGCCAATTCATTTTCTTTCATTGGCCTCAATACTCTCCAGACAAGCAGCTTCTGATCCGAATCTCCCATTCGTGGATTTCAATCAATCCACTCTATGGCACTTCCGTTCCCCTCCTCGGGGAACGAAAGGTTACTTCTGTAACCTCGAACTATCTCATTGAGTGATGGAATAATAAAGGTAAAACTTTAATTGAATGATCAGTCAAGTGTTTCCAAATGAAATCTGTTAAAATAAGAGTCCTACAAAACAGGAACAAAGACACTCATGAAACAAATGTGATTGTAAATTGTATTTTTTATTAGATGGTTGGTTTTAAGTACTTTAAAAATAGTCGATAATCCTTAAATATAGAGGGAGAAATAAAGAAAAACAAACAGAAATTCAACAATATAGATGCATTACATTACAATCTCACAATACAAATTTTATTAAAAACCATATAGAGGACTAAAATATTGCTAAAAGGCATAACATCAAAAATAATACAAATACCTTTAAGGTTTTAATTACTAAATAAAATTAATAGTATCAATCCAAAATATGAAAAATGTAACACTTTACAATAAGGTTGTATTAATTAAGTTTATGTATGTACTAATGTGAACAAACAATGCAGTGCAGTTCATTACAGTATTCGTTATTTTATGCTTTAATTAATGGAAATAAAATTATTGGTTAATTCTTGTTAAATCACAGTGCATTAACATTAATGTTAACAAGCATACCTTTAAATTGTAATAATGCAATAGTAAAAGTGAAACTATAATTAATAAAGGTTTAAAAGTATAGTTCATTATTAGTTCATGTTAGTACATAGATTAACTAAAAAAACCTTATTGCAAAATGTCACCAAAAATAACAATAACACTTTTTTCACAGTTTTAAGAGCTTTAAAAATAAATGATATATATATATATATATATATATATATATCTAGTTATTATGGCATGTTACTACTAATTAAATAGTTAGAAAATACTGTCAGAGGATACTGTCAGAGCAAAACACAAAAATAAAACTTAATATGCGCATTGACACAAACGACCTAGTGCAAAAACATAAATTACAGCCATGTTCATTCATAATTATGTGAAATAAATCACGAGAGGGTAAATTTGGTTTAAAAAAAACTGAAGTTCATTGACTTATGCACAACAGTAAAACAATGCTTTTGCACAACAATAACACATTGCGAGTAGTAAAGTCTCTTTCCTTTGACAGATGTTGTAAATCCGCTGAATAAAACAAAAGAAGCAGATCTCGGATGTGTTTATTTCACTCTCCAAGTCAGAATGAAAATGGCATCTTCAAATTTCCCGCTGGTGCAAAAACACGGAAGTGCGCCACAAAGCACTGGTCGAAAGTATGCGCGCATGCTCTCTGTCTCACACACAGACACACACACACACATACACACACACACACACAAACACACACACGCAGAGATAGAGCGTTCCGTGTCAACATACTTTTTATCTTTGGGCTTTTTATAGAAAGTAGCAAGTCTTTACAAGTCAATAGGCGCAAGTCCAAGTAAAAGTCTGAGTCATTCATGTTCAAGTCCAAGTCGAGTTGCAAGTCTTTTCATATTTTGTCAAGTCGAGTCTGAAGTCATCAAATTCATGACTCGAGTCTGACTCGAGTCCAAGTCACATGACTCGAGTCCACACCTCTGCCGCATTAACATGCTGGACCCCCAGACTTGCAACGCAGTGCTTGTGCCCATCATCCAGGGACAGGAAATCACCGCATCCAGAAACAAACGGTCGGAGCACCATCCTGATAAGGACGTGCTGCATGACTGTGCTGCGTTTTTAGAAAATTTGCAACTTTATACGCACCGCTCTGGAGGACCAGACCCAAAGAACGACAGGCAAAGGAGAAGCCCAGCTCGATTGCTGCCGCCGCGTGTACACACTCTGGACAGGGAGACCACTCTCGTTCGCTTGAAATCGCAGGATAACAATAGGAGGAACTCTCATCGACTCTCTCAGAAGGCTGTAGAAGTCTCTGAAGCAAAAAGGGTGTCTCATCTTGCTTTTACTGTGCTTTTATGCTAAATTGATTGCAACAATCATCAGGTACGCAAGCTGACGCTGCCAGTTCATTTGAAATTTCATTGGCCCATTTACATACTCTTTCAGATGATTGGCTTTCTGAACGAAATCCCCATACGTGGATTAAAAATCCACTATAGCATTGAATATCCCCATCAAAAGGGGAATGCATGTTTTCTCTGAGTTCACGTGGGTTTCCTCCAGGTTCTCCGGTTTCCCCCACAGTCCAAAGACATGCAGTACAGGTGAATTGGGTAGGCTAAATTATTTGTAGTGTATGAGTGTGTGTGTGAATGGATGTTTCCCAGAGATGGGTTGCGGCTGGAAGGGCATCCGCTGCATAAAAACGTGCTGAATAAGTTAGGGGTTCATTCCGTTGTGGCCACCCCGGATTGATAAAGGGACTAAACCAAAAAGAAAATTAATGAAATTAATGAATATTCAATATTCTGTGCTAAAGCATACAACCACTTAGCTATTCTCATATATAAATCATATAATTTGTTTATGGTTATTATTTACTATAGGCTATTTATTAAGAAAAGCAATAATAATAATTAATAATAATAACAACAACAATATCAAATATATATAATACAAATATATATATATATATATATATATATATATGTGTGTGTGTGTGTGTGTGTGTTTGTGTTTTACTGTTTTTATTGTATTTCTGCATAAATCAATGCAGATGCACATTTTGTTGCATAAGAACATTATAAGATTTTTAATCTGTATAATTTTTTCTTCTTCTTGTAAACGCACCCACTGACGTTATTAATCTTTTTCTTGCTTGCTTGCTTACATAAACAGTCATTAATTTAACTTCAAATAAAACATTTTGACATCAGCACTATAAGTGCGTTGGTATTCAGAAACTGCAAGAATACCTTGCATTTTTTAGAGTGTGTGTGGCAGCTCACGTGGGTTGAACTTTACAGAAAATGAGACTGTATTGGAGGCAGAAAAAGAGGCAGAAACAACACTACGTAATGTGACCCTACTCATTGAGAGCTGACGATGGTCTTTTTGACACACCACCTCACGGAACATTTCTCTGAAGCGCGAAGACATGAGGTTATACAGGATGGGATTGACCACTGAGCTCAAGTAGAAGAAGACACCAGATAGAAGATGCACATACTCAAAGATGTGGTGGTTCTCTGCAGTCCAGTCATCAATATAGCTCCACATTACACGATCAATGTGAAAGGGAGCCCAGCAGATTCCAAACACAATCACCAATGCACCTGTGAAAGAGTCAGCACAAAAAAGTAACTGTAATATAAATTACATCAATATACTATGTAAAAAAGTTTGTTTTTATATTTTTGAAAGAAGTATTCTAGATTTACCAAAACTATTTTTATTTAATAAAATATACAGTATAAACAGAATACTTAAATATATATTATATTATTTTATGCTATATTAGACTGCATCTGGAAACTATTCACAGAGCTTTAATTTAACCATATTTTGTTCTTCTTACAGCTTTTTTTAAAATATATGAAATTAATTATTTTTCTCACATCATGGAGATAGCGTGAAAGATTCGCAAATATATTAAAATGGATGGGGAGCATCAGGGGATAACTGTTTTCAGATCTCTCGAGAGAAATCAGGCTCTGGGCTACACAAGGACAATCACAAATCCTCCACAGCCACTCCTTTTTTATATTGGATGTGCTTGAGGCTGTTGTCATCTTAAATGATGTCCTAGTCTTAGCAGGTTTTTAGGTTTTCATTAATGATCTCTGTACATTAATTACTGCTTTTATCTTCCCCTAAATCCACTGAAAAACTTCTTCACATCATGATGACAGCACTATGTTTCACTGTAGGGCTTGCATTGGCCAAGTGATGCTTAATTACTCTAGACAAGGTGTTCAATTGTTGTTTTAAAGACCAAAAATATCTGTTTATCATGGTATGAGTGTCCTTACGGCAACTTTTTGGCAAACTGTAGGTGGCTGTGCCTTTTACTCAGGAGTGATTTCTGTGATTTCCATCTACTATACAGGCATGAATGGTGGATTAATGTGGAAATGGTTCTTCTGGGAGATTCTTATCGTAGAGAATTATTCAAGCTCTTTTAAAGTGACTGTAGGATTCTTGGTAGGGTTGTGTGATAAATTAAAATCAAAATTGTTTTGAAATCTAGATTTATCAAAGCTGCAATTATCAGACTCATAAAAATATGTAGATTTTTTTACTTGTTCAAAATACTTAAATAAAATGAGCTTATACAACACAAATCTTCTACAGCTACTCCACAGCTATACTGATGACACTCAGATCTACTTAGCCTTACTGCCTAATGACTTCAGCCCCATTGACACCCTCTGCTAATGCATTGATGAAATTAACAGTTTGATGTGCCAAAACTCTCTTTAGTTAAACAAAGAAAACTGAAGTCATTGCATTTGGGAACAGATAGGACATTCTTAAGGTGAATGCGTATTGACCTAAAAACAAGGTCAAGAATCTTGGTGTTATTCTAGAGACAGATATGAGTATCAAAGCAGTAATTAAATCAGCAAACCATCTCAAAAACATTGCAAGAATTAGATGCTTTGTCTCCAGTGAAGACTAAGAGAAACTTGTTCATGCTTTTATCACCAGCAGTGTGGATAACTTTATTGGACTCATTACCGGAGGAAACGACAGTAAGACAGTTAAAGCTCATCCAGAACTTCATTCATTGATTTTCTTTTCGGCTTAATCCCTTTAATCCGGAGTCGCCACAGCGGAATGAACCGCCACTTATCCAGCATGTTTTTAAGCAGGGGATACCCTTCCAGCCGCAACCCATCCCTAGGAATAATCCACACACACTCATACCCTACAGACAATTTAGCCTACCCAATTCCCACGCAAATGCCAGCGACCTTCTTACTACGAGGTGACAGCACTCCCTACTGCGCCACTGTCACCCACTATACTATATTATATTTATTATATCATATTATATTACATTATATTATTTTATATTATATTAGATTATTTTATATCATATTATATTACGAACAGAATCCAAGTCTAATAAAGGCCACCAAACCACAGTTAGTCGCTAAAACACTTTAGCATAATTGGTTTGCAGATGTGTTTTACAAAGCAAAATATTATCATATTTTTAAGAGTGACTCGAGTGTCCAGGAACACTCGTAAAATGTTTATTTCTATAAAACAAACTGCTACCCCTGGAATGTATCTGTGGTGTTTATGAATTTTAGAATGCTTGACTAGATCTAAAATATTTTGTTTATATCTGAGTACCAAAGTACTTGCTAGAATTTTTGAGGATGGCCACACAGTGTAGTGCTGACCCATGGTTACAATAAGCCAGATGTAGTCTCTTGCTGTTCCTAAATCAGATCCTCTTTGTATTTACAATAACATGACACGAGGCTGATAAAACACAGATGAGTATTTTTTGTTTATCATTACAGATTATTCTTAACAAAGTTTCATGAGGTTTCTTCAGCTATAAAACCTTGCACACAGCACAAGAATGTGCCATTGTTACGAGTAAACTAAACATAGATTTTTATTTGTTTCGCACATGTAGGCTACTTGCTGAATTATTTCAAGGAATAAATTGCAATATTTCAAGAAGAATTAATTAAATGAATAAAAACTACATTATTTCATTTATCAGAAACAAAAATTTAACATTACACTGAATTCATAATTTTTTTTGTGTGCCACCCCAAGATTTGGTGCGGCCTCTTCTGGCCACCCCTAAGAAATTTTTCTGGGGGCGCCACTGGTGAAAACAAAAAAACATATAGCCTAGCATACGTTAATGCTTTTAATTTATAGTAGGTTATTTATTAAGTATCTGTACTGTATGACATGGTCCTGTTGGTTAGAACATTTCTGCAGCGGTTTGCACAAGTCAAACTGTAAAAGTAGACTTTTCAAAAAATAAACAATATCCTATTTAATCATCATCATCATTAATATTAAAAATAAAATAAGATTTTTTTCATTTCCTAATAAATAGTAAATATTAAATTTCATTTCCCAACAAATTGTCTCATTATTTACTTATTTTTATGATTTTTAAATAATATTAGAATACGTGTTAGCTTTTGTAAGTGATTTATGTTTTAGAATAGAATATGTAATGTTCTCAATAATATTAGTAAAGGAAACTGAGAAATTATGGCTATTAGTATTATTAGTAATATACTTCTATAAAGAAGTTACCACCCCTTTTAGAGCATCATTATGAGTGTTTTATGTTAAACCTAATGTGATTTATCTGCGACAGAGAAACAGAACGACACTATCGTTCTTTTCTCAAATAATGCATCGTACTATGATAGTTCAGCCACGAGTTACGTCATTGTTTGGGAAACGCACCATAGGCTAATTTTTACGAATTTGTAGGAGTTCTCTCATATGAAAATGTACAATTTTAAAAAAGGTGTGGCACCAAACCCCACCCTTACACCCAGCAAGCAAATTGTACTAAAGTATATAGTAAAGATTTTACGTATTCATATGAATTAGCCACTAAATTAAAAAGTTACGAATTGCTGTGATCGTGAATCATTGTGTTGTGTCAGTGCCTTATTCAAAGGTAGCTTGCACTTCTGAGATGACATCATCAATTCTGAAAAGTAAATAAGAGATTTTAAAGCACAATATGCTGCCTTCTTTTCCAGGGACGTCCATGCATAAATCAACAAGACAATGCAAAACCACGTTCTGCACACATTACAAAGTCCTGGCTGCAAAGGAAGAGTATACTGGTTGTAAGAGGCTAAATTATCAAAAAGTTTGTTTATAAGACAAAACAATTCTTTTTGACTCAAGAAGGTCCATACTGACTCCAAAGAGAGATAGTGATAACATCAGGGCCTGGTGTGTGGACTTTGGGGGTTTTATGATGTGGTCACATGTTGATTGGTCAGTTTAGAAGTCTCAGCATTTGGGTTTTAGTCACATTGTCAAGAAATATACAAAATAGGTGTAAAACCCTGCTCTGTCTATTTTCCTGACCTGTCTTTTCCTGGTCTGCTTCTCTCCTGTTCTGCTCCTCTCCTCCTCTGGAGTCTATCTTCTCTGACTCTACTGCAATTAAGCTAACTTCTGAGCCTGCTCTCTTTGTCTCTCTCTCTCTCTCTCTCTCTCTCTCTCTCCCCCTGTGTCTCTTCTTCTACCTCTGGTAACTTTAATTTTGAGTACTGAATTTGAGAACAATTTCTATCATATGTTTTATCATAGGCGAGGCAGTGGCGCAGTAGGTAGTGCTGTTGCCTCACAGCAGAAAGGTTGCTGCGTCGCTGGTTCGAACCTGGGCTCAGTTGGCATTTCTGTGTGGAGTTTTCATGTTCTCCCTGCCTTCGCGTGGGTTTCCTCCAGGTGCTCCAGTTTCCCCCAAAGTCCAAATGCGGTACAGGTGAATTGGATAGGCTAAATTGTCCGTAGTGTATGAGTGTGTGTGTGGATGTTTCCCACAGATGGGTTGCGGCTGGAAGGGCATCCGCTACGTAAAAACTAGCTGGATAAGTTGGCAGTTCATTCCGCTGTGGCGACCCTGAATTAATAAAGGGACTAAGCCGACAAAAAATGAATGAATGAATGAATAAATGTTTTATCATTTCATATTTTATCATTTTATACAGTTATTTTGTAATTAATTCAGTTGTAACTATAGAGAATTATTGTAATTAAACCATCTCATTTTCAAGTATTTGTGAATTACTTTCGATTTAACATCAACATTTAATTGTTCCATATTGCAATACAATACAATCACATAATATCAATGCTCTCCCACATATATAGCTATTAATACTGCCCTTATTTTTGTTTTTGGTATAAGATTGCAGAGGAATGATTTGAGAAGAATGTACAGTTTTTTACTATCATACTGATAACTTTTTAGTCATTCGGCAGAACTACATTTCAAACCGCTGTGGTTAAAACCCATTACTACAAGGTATATTGAGACAATGGTACAATGCTACTTTTACTGAGAACTACTTACACTTCTGTTTGTCCAAACCAAACCAGATTTTAAGAGTACAATAAATTTAAACAATAAATTAAATACTAAAATTTCTAATCTAGACTTTTTCACATTAAATATAAATACAATTTGGAATTCTAAAAATAAGGCAAATCAGGGTTTAGAAAAGTTAAAAGGGTTAAAAGACATCCCACCAAAAGACCACCAACTCTTAACTGACCTAAAACATGATTGTTATGTTTTTTTTAGAAGGATGTGCTCTAAAAGAGCGTATTTATATTTTGCTGCATTTTACCAAAACAAACATAATAATCAAAACAATCAATCTGTTCTGATTCCATTTCATTTGAACAAGGTTTAAAATGAACAGGCTTTGTTCATTCAGCAGTACTCTTGTGTGTTACACCGAATCCTCACTTGTGGTGAAGTGCATGCCATAATTAGAGTTTTGAATTAATCTTATCCCACGTCACATTTGAACTAAGGGTGTTGAACAATAATACAGATGCACTCTACTACTATAGTGTAAACAGGACGTCAGCTTAAAAAAGGTCACAATCTTACCAGATAAAAATTGTTTTGTGTCTCAGTTAGTATATAATAAAATAATTGATATAAAAAATAAAGTTCATCATTAAAATGCACAAATCTTAACAGCAGTTATGCTGAAATAAGACTTACAAAGCATTTTTGTGACTTGTCGATGACGTGCCCTCTGATTGACCCCATCCTGATTGAGCACGATCTTTGAATCAAAGCACTCCCTTTCCCGGTGCAGCTGTAGGCCAATCAGCACATACAGCACACTGATAGTCAGCATCGGCAGTATGAAGAACAGCAGTGCTGTCACTTGCACCAGCAGGTTGTAGATCCACCTATCGTGTACCACTGTACACACACCTGATTCTGGGAAAGTAAGTCCAAAACGGGGTTTTAACATCTCCACACCATGAATACTGGTATTGGGCAAGGCACACAATAGAGAGACAGCCCATAACACAAGGATAACACGCTTTGCATGAGCACTCGTCGCAACATGTTTGGTGTGCAGAGGATGAATGATAGCTCTATAACGTTCTGCACTTAAGGCTGTAACATTGAGAACAGAGGCAAAGCAGACTGTCTCAAAGAGACAGGTTTTGAAGTAGCAGCCAGAAATTCCAAACAGAAAAGGATAGTTGCTCCAGAGCTCATAAAGCTCCAGCGGGAGGCCAAGCAACAGCACAAGGAGGTCAGAAATGGCCAGGCTGAACAGGTAGTAGTTTGTCGTTGTGCGCATGATGCGATGACGGGTAATGACAATACAAGTTAGGATGTTGCCCACCACACCTACTACAAAGATGAGCAGGTAGGTGACACATATAGGCAGAAAGAAAGGTGAACGACAGGGTCCAAGGTATTTCTCCAGGTAGGCACTGCGGGATAGACAGAGGTCTGATAGGTTTGCTGTTCTGTTTTGACATTCTTCTTCTTTGGTGGAGCACCATGACGTGTTCACAACAACTGTGAACAGTGAACTTGGAGAGGAGCAGTTGTACTGTATCATTGATTATCAGATGAAAATTACCTATAGGGTTACAAAAAAAGACATACAGGTCAAATGCTTAAACTGTTATGTTCCACAATTTCAACAAAATATCATGTGGCACTTCAAATAATAATGAAATGAAATAACTTGCATTTCAAAAATTTATTTTGATTGATTTTAAAAAATCCTAATATTATTCACTCTTATTTTATTTATTTAGATTTTCAATTATATATTATTTTATAATTATATACTTATATTGATCGTTGATCATGCTAACTAATTAACCAGGTTGACACATGGAACCCTACAAAAATAACTAAACGGGTAAAATTTCACATCGAAAAAAAAAAAAACAATGAATTCAAAAGCAAGGTACTGGAACTTTCTACATATACACTTGCATATTTTTACATTATTTGTCATTTGTAATAATACATATACATGTTATATTTCAATTGCATAGTTTCTAGTTTTGAATAGGATAAAATGTACTGTCATTATATTGCATTATTTTTATATGTATTTAATTTCCGTCAAATTCATAAAACAAAGTGCAGTACAAAATTTAAAATACAGTACATTGTGCCCTATTTTATATATATATATATATATATATATATATATATATATATATATATATATATATATATATATATATATATATATATATATATAAACTAATAATTCATAGGCCCCCTCTTTATGGTCTTCCTGCAGTGTAAACTCATTCTATTCCTGTCTACTATTAAAAGTCATGAGGTAGTTTAATGAGAACATAAACACTGCATGTTGGTAGAGTCTTAGTTTTGTTCACAGTCCTGCAAGGCACCAGGGTGCATAGTTTTTTTGAGAGAACACAATGTACGCCACAACAGTGCTATCATTTCAGTCACTGTGTGTACATTATAAACAGTAACAACTATGTCTTTTGTGTACTTTCATGTAAGTTTCATAAACTGAGCAAAACAAACTGAATAAACATATTAATTCATGATTTGAGTTATTTAATATGTGATGCTACAGAGTCCAGGGCTTGTCCTGAAGTGTCGGGTAGTGGATAGCTATAAAAAGCTCAGCAAGTTGCTTACATTTTGTTATTGAAATGCTACATTTGTTCCAATTATGTAGGTTGACTCTTAACTGTCTGGGGTGCATTTCCAAAACAATGACGTAGCTTGTGGGTGAACTACCATAGTCGGATGCATATTTGGGAAATAAATAATTTAGTTCTAAGTGTTTCCCTAAATCATACTCTTTCACAAAACCATTGGTTTAAACCATGTAAAATAAGGCATTAGAAGACATGTGATCAGCTTTTACTGTTATGCAGATGATATCTGGTTGTATAATACAACAAAACCTGATGAACCTGATGGCCGGCAGCTAGCTCTCTGCAACTCTCACATGGTCGCCCACTGAAGCTAAGCAGGGCTGCGCCCGGTCAGTACCTGGATGGGAGACCACATGGGAAAGCTAGGTTGCTGCTGGAAGTGGTGTTAGTGAGGCCAGCAGGGGGCGCCCAACCTGTGGTCTGTGTGGGTCCTAATGCCCCAGTATAGTGACAGGGACGCTATACTGCTCAGTGAGCGCCGTCTTTCGGATGAGACGTTAAACCGAGGTCCCGACTCTCTGTGGTCGTTAAAAATCCCAGGATGTCCTTCGAAAAAGAGTAGGGGTTTAACCCCGGCATCCTGGCCAAATCTGCCCACTGGCCTTTGATGGCCATGATGGCCTCCTAACCATCCCCATATTCAATTGGCTTCATCACTGTCTCCTCTCCACCAATTAGCTGGTGTGTGGTGTGCGGTCTGGCGCAAAATGGCTGCCGTCGCGTCATCCAGGTGGATGCTGCACACTGGAGGTGGATGAGGAGATTCCCCCCACTGTGTAAAGCACTTTGAGTGCCCAGAAAAGTGCTATATAAATGTAAGGAATTATTAATTATTATTATTATTATTATGTCTGAAATGTGTAAGTTAACTAAGTGTATTAAAGATGTTAAAAACTGGATGACCTACAAATTATTATTATTATTATTTTTTAATTTAGACAAAACGGAAGTATTACTTATTGGCCCTAAATCCTTTACACAGTAGATCACAGAAACTTAACTTTTGAAAATCATATCTCCCATGTCACAAAAACCACCTACCTGAGAAATATCGCTAGTTATGAAGTATATTTATTTCAGATGCAGAAAAGCGAGTTCATGCCTTTATGACTTCTTAGCTGGATTACAGTAATGCTATGTTTGTTGGTTTCCTAGCATCCTCTAATAATAAATTTCAGTTAGTGCAAAATGTATCTGCCAGAGTTCTTACCAGGTCTAGAAATATGATCATATCACCCCAAATTTTATCCTCCTTACACTGGGAGCCTGTTAACTTCCGTATTGGTTATAAAATATTGTTTATGTAACCAACCTTCTGTCTGGCTATACTTGAACCGGCTCTTTAAGATCTCAAAACTCAGGGCTTCTGGTAATACCCAGAATAGCAAAGTCTACTAAAGGAGATCGAGCCTTCACATTTATAGCTCCAAAACTCTGGAATAGCCTTCCTGACAATGTCTAAGGCTCAGACATACTCCCTCAGTTTAAAAACAGATTAAAGACCTAATGATCTTTTTAGTAAAGCAAACACGCAATGCATCACATTACAGTATGATGCATGAGTAGGCTCCATGGACGTCTTAATGCACTAGACATTTTGTTAGAAATACTCATTTGCTTTATGTTTTTGTTTCTATGTTTGTTTATATAACTACTAATCTCGAGGCCACACACACACACAAACACACACACACACACACACACACACACACACACACACACACACACACACACACACACACACACACACACACACACACACACACACACATTCGCACACACACATACAGTTAAAGTCAGAATTATAAGCCCCCTTTGATTTTTTTTCCTTTTTTTTATATTTCCCATGTGATGTTTAACAGCGCAAGGACATTTTCACAGTATGTCTGATTTTTTTTTTCTTCTGGAGAAAGTTCTATTTGTTTTATTTCGGCTAGAATAAAAGCAGTTTAAAATTTTTAAGGGCAGAATTATCTGCCCCTTTGAGCTATATATTTTTTTCATCATTATACTGTATGTATTATTTTTCATCATTATACAATAACTTGCCTAATTAGCCCAACCTGCCTAATTAACTTAATTACAGATTTTACAATTGCTATGACACTTTTTTCAATACATTTAACAAGTTTCCTAAACTCTTAACACAGTTAGCACAACATCCGTCTTCGTGGGCTATAGAATTAACACATTTCTTTTTGTTTTGAAACACAAAATGCATTCAGTTAACACAAATTTAAAATGCTTTAACTTCTTTTACACACAAGCACAACCAAGAACAAAACAATGTAATTTTACAGTCAAATTTACAAATGCTTTAACACAGTATGTCAGAACAGATAACACCATGTTCTAAACAGAAATTATATAGGATAAAGTCAAAGTGAACAGCTGTTCTAATTGTGAATTGAAACACATATATATTCCCTGTATTTTATTCAATTGCCAATGAGAAACAGCATATTGCGGTCATATAAATAAATAAATAAATTTATATGTATATATATATATATATATATATTTTTTTTTTTTTTTTTACAGTTATTAATGAGAAACAGAATATTGCGGTTATATAAATAAAAAAAAATATATATATATATATAAGGAATATATATATATATATATATATATATATATATATATATATATATATATATATATATATATAATATGCTGTTTCTCATTGGCAACTGTAAAAAAAAATTATATATATATATATATATATATATATATATATATATATATATATATATATATATATATATATATATATATATATACATTTATTTATTTACTGATTCCCATCTAGAAAGCACACTCATGTCTTGTTTTGGTTTTTCCAATCACATGATCATATGTTGTAATAGAGGACTCTTGAGGTTTTTGAAAGGAACAGTGAGCACATCAAATAACTCTGTCACCAATTCGTCCATGTAAGATTATGCAATACAGTCATTACTGTACTATACACAGTGTGTTTTGCAGTAAACTACTCTTTAAACATGGAGTTCATTAGAACATACAGTACATATACAGTGCAGCATTTGCATACACTGTGTCTAATTACTTTCAGAGAGTCATGAAGTTGGAGGCCAATCAAGTACCACATGAAATTTTCAATGTTGACAAGGCTGGGGATGTCGCCGTAGGAAAAACATAATAGGCCAAAGGGCCACAGTTACCATGCAGGGCCACAGAAGATATCAAGTATAATGTGGATGAGAACATGTGGCAAGAATAGAAGATTACTTTGTTATTTTATTATAATTGTGGTGCTTTTTCTGTTTGCAGTGATGTCCCTCTGCAAAAAAAGTCTGTACTGCAGCAATTCTGTGTCTGTATTTTTTTTAACATAAACTACACTTTATAAAGCAATTTTTTTTTCTTCGTTTTATATAGAATTTTTGCAGTAAAAGAAAGAAAATGCATGCATTTACTTAACCCAACGAAACAAAACTGTAACAAAACTTCAAATATAAGGGCAGAGCTGACACATTAACTAATGGAGTTTCTGTAATGTCAGCTGATGATAGTGTTTTTATTGTCAGTGTATTCTGATTGACTGAATGTTTATGTTGGAAGAGAACATGTGTTTGTGTTTTGAACAATAATTTCATTTTGAAAAATGTTGGCAGTGTTTTGTTAGACATTGTGTAGTGTGTTCGTTTATTATTGTATTTTGAAAAGTAGTTTAGAGGTTTAGTTTATAATGTGTGATTTTGAGCATGAAATTAACTGTTTTGCCAATTGTGTATTTTAGGTGTGTTGCTGCGTTAAGAGTTTAGCAAACTTGTTAAATGTATTGAAAAAAGTGTCATAGCCATTGTAAAAAACTGTAAGCAAGTTAAGTCTTTAAATGTCACTTTAAGCTGTAAAGAAGTGTCTTGAAAAATATCTAGTAACATGTTTAGAAATGTGT